TTAAGCACTCTCATAGGTATGTGTTAACCTATAGATGCACTCTGAAAAAGGATAATATTCAGGCTTTTGAATCAGTGAAGTGGTGCTTCCTTTTGAATATTCTTCTTGCTTTGGGCTTTCCTGGGAAGTTTGTAAACTTGGTGAAGTAATGTATCATTACAACAAGGCTTTCTTTTGGAGATAGAGGGTTTTCTGGGCGATTTTCCTGGCAAAAAGGCTTTGAGGCAAAGTGATCCCATGTATCCATACTTTTAAAAGATATGGAAAAGCGTTCTCTGTTCACTTCTAAACAAGGCAGATATGGAGGGAACTTGACCTTTGAATCCTAAATGCAAGGAGTTTTGAATCGCCCTCCCCCCCCCCCCCAGCGTTCTGTAATCAACATTGGAGCAATACAATGACAACTTTCAGCCGAAAGCATATCTGCTGCAGAAATTGAACATCTACTGCTGCTTGCATTCGACAGGTCGTTCATTTCCCTGACCAAGGGCCGTTTGAGCTCTTTCACCCTTCTACAGTACACAGAAGTAAGGAATCAAGATAGGCAAGTAAAGTGTTTGACAAATATGCCTCTAAGGCTAACCAGAAACAAGACAATAGACCAGTTTTGAGAACAAAGAGAAGGGAAAAAAAAGGCTATATTCAATATATGATCGAAGGCGACGTACCTTTTGTCCAGATGACAACTGGAAGAACATTTCAGATCAAAGTAACAAAGATCAGTAAAGAGAACATTTTGAAAATTCAAATGGTAAGTGAGAAAATAGGTGACATCAAATAAGAAAAGGAAAAATACCTTCTTCTTGGTCTTCCTTTCTTCCTCCTCGTCTTCATCCTCATCTTCCTCCTCATCCTCATCCTCATCTTCATCATCTTCATCATCATCACCAATATCCTCGTCTTCATCATCATCTTCTATTTCAAGTTCATCGCCCTGAATAGCCTCACCAGTAAACCATGAAACAGCATGAGGGATAATTTTGTCTCGAATCGTAGACCTAGAGGAAGTAAATGATGAAGAAATTACAGTTAGATTATTCTGTGGCCTAAGCATATCATACAGGTAGCCACACTTACAACAAAAAAATTAGGGCCCAAAGATTTCGGGTAAAAATCAAAATTTTAAAAACAATAGTAAGCATACCCAATGTCATAATCTTGCTCCATTTGATTTTGCAGCTCCTCAGCCTTCATAAGAAAATGAAAAA